ATTATTTAAAATTTATATCATTACTCAATATCTAAATTGTAGTTTCAAATAAAATTATTATTACAAAATATTAATATACACAAACCAATAAGTTAAGATGTTTTAAAAAATTAACATACCAAATTCAAGTTATTTGTATGGTGTAACCGAGGACAAAACAGCACGTGGGACAAATTTTCAATAACCAAAATATATTATGATAGTATTGATAAAAAAAAAAAAGAGTAAGATTATGATAATTATGTTAAGTAATTAAAAATATTTTTAAAAAATAAAAATTATATTATTTGCAAATAGGTAGTGATTTTCTATATAAAAAACAAAAATTTTTATTCTCTCATAACTAAATACACACATATGTTTAAAATAATTGTCAAAGGAATAAGAAACTTTTATCTTTTCATTAAATATTATCTAAAGAAAATTAAAAAGTAAAACATAAAATACAAAGAAATTTCAACAAAATTTTATAGAGACACAATGCTAATTATTAAAGAATATTTGAATGAAATTAAGTGAAAATCAATAGATAAATTTTAATAATTTTTTAAATAACTATCTTTTTTTTAAAAAAGATTTGTGATACTAATATTTTGTAAAATGTAAGGATCTATTTAAAAGAAACATAATTATGCACGCGAATGAGATCAAATACGGATTTTGTGGTAAAATGAAGGAAGATATCAATCATTTAATGTTGCTTTGTCAACAATCATATTTGGTTTGGCTTAAGTGCTTTGAATGGTGGAATATAGCGTATGTCCTGCGCTATGCCTACAAAGAAGACTTGAAACAGCACGCATGGGCAACAAAGAACCAGAAAGGATGGAAGGTAGTGTGGTACGCAATAACTCGGTCCTTATGGCTTGCGAGAAATGAAGTGGTTTTTAATGGAAAACAGATGTGGCTGCTGTCTTTGAACGGCCTCAAAAACCTTTCTTTCTCTTGGATCAGTGCCATCATTGATTGTTGACCATACTCTTACTCTGAGTGGTGTCAAAATCCAAGAAGGTGCCATACATACAGAAGGTGTTAAATGTCATGAATTTTGATCTTGATTGAGTTGTCTTTATTCAGTAGTTGTAGGTAAGAGTGGCCTTGTACATTATTAATAAAAGTTCTTGCAATTTTATATTTAAAAAAAACAAAGAAAAAGAAAAGGTTTGCTGGCATAAAATTATAATGAGTTTTTATAATTTGTGTTTTTAAAGTATAAGTTAGAAATATTTTTTATTATAAATGTATATAAAAAATTATAAAAATTAAGATTAATTTTAGTGTTAATATCAAATGAGTGAATTTACTTAAAAAGTGAATTTATTAGACAGTTAATAAATTAAATATTAATTTTTATTTTTTTAATATAAATTTATAATAAAAGTGTGTATTTAATATATAACCTGTATCATTAAAATATAAATTAGACAAACCAAATTATGATTAAGTGAATAGAAAAAAGGTTTGATGGCATTTATTATCATATTACAACTAAGCAAGAGAATCCAAAATAATATAATTATAATATCATTTAATATTGTATAAATTTATAATAATAATATTTTATTGATATTATGTTGATCATCTTATTTATTAATATGTTATAATTATAATCTTATAGTTTTATATAGAATTATAAGTATAGCATTGATAAAAAAAAATAATAGAATAATAAATAAAAAAAGCAATAAAATTCTACAAATTTAAACTCAAAAAGGAAATTCAATTTATTCAGCAAAATTACAAATTTTTAAAGAGTTTGAGGTTTTAAATTTCAAATTTGAAGTATCTAAATAAAATTTCTATAATAGAAAATGAAATAAAGAATCAAGCAAGTAAAAACTTTGATCCTAGGAAAGCGAGAGAGAAAGAGAAAGAAACAGAGAGTGACAAAGAAGCTGCTGCTTTTGGTAGAAATTTTCTGTTGAATTAATTTTAAAAAGAAAACACTTTCACATAGAAGTTCTGTGAGAAGGAAATGGCAAAGAGTTGGCTAGATATGGTAGAGTACATGATGGAAAAACTGAAAATACTAGAAAAGGAAAAGAACAAACAGTTGAGTGCAATCTTCTGCTTTGCATTCATGATCATCTGAACCCAACTTGCAACCCACACAAGTAGAAAGCTTAAAGTTTGGCACCAACATTCCAATAGAAATATATCACACCAGACAAAGTAGAAAAGCTAAAAGAATTGAGGTAAACGAAGTTTTTTCAAAAAAGAGTGCTTGCTTGGATTCCTTCATCAGATGCTATGAACGATTACCAAGAAATTTATCTCTAATAATACATAACTCTACAACCACATCTTTCATCTCCATTCGATCATTCGAAGAATCCATTGAGTAGAGAACCCCTATTCTTGCAAAGGTAATGAGGATCTCCTTGATACTGACTCTTCTTTCTCTTTTGTTTCTTCGAGCATCCCCAATGTTTTCATCTGTACTTCGAAGTTCCTGCAGCAACGAAGGATCAACAATGTCCATCACACGTTCTGACAATGCTAGTTTGGCAAATTGGTGAAGGTTTAGGCCATCTTTGAATATTGCATCAGTTGGTCGCTTCCCTGTAATCATCTCCAACAAGAGAATTCCAAAGCTAAACACATCACCTGCCATAGATGCCTTTCCGCCGGTTCCATATTCTGAATGAAATGGTTAGCGGTGAAAGCGAGGAAACATGAGATCAATTCAATAGGTTAGTTAGCACCTAGATGCTAAACTATAACTTTCACTACACAAATTCAAGGTGAAATTAATATTACCTGGAGCAACATAGCCAATGGTCCTTATTGTACCAAGTGAGCTTGTTTTCTTTGAGGAAATAAGGAATCTTGTCAGTCCAAAATCACCCACATGAGCAACCATTTCATGATCAAGTAGAATATTGCTTGGCTTAAGATCACCATGAACAATTGCTGGTTGGCAATGGTAATGCAAATACTCAATTGCATGTGCAACTTCAATCACTACGTTTAATCTCTTGATGAAATTGAAATTTCTAACTCCCACTTGGACTTCAGTTGAATGCAACCACTCATCTAGGTTTCCATTTTGCATGAACTCATACACTATGGCCTTGAAATCGACCCCTTTAAAGTCTATGCTAGAACAGACAGTCAAAACTTTGATCAGATTTTGATGATGAATGTTTCTCATAGCTTCACACTCGGCCACAAAACTCTTGGATGCTCCTTTTTGCTTAAGGTTCAACACTTTCACTGCAACTAACATTCCATGTTCACCCATGATTCCTTTATAAACAGAGCCAAAACTTCCTTCGCCAATCAAGTTAGCCGATGAGAAGTTATTAGTTGCCTGACTTAACTCTGCATAAGAAATCTTTGGAAATGGTTCTTGTGTTTGTAGCATGGAAGAGGCTTCCCTCTTAGATCTCCTTGCCCAAGTTAAAAAAATTAGAAACAAAAACACTACTAATAAGATCGAGCAGGAAACAACTGGAATCATAATTTTAAGATTGTGAGACCTTTTGTTCTTCTTTAGGCCTTGGACTTTACATGGAGGGAGTCTGAGCTTCTAAATGCCTCCACAAAGGTGTTGGTTTCCAACAACTGAAACTGCACTTGCATTTCCAAAGATCCCTTCATATGGAACCTCTCCTTCAAATTTGTTGAAAGACAAATTCAAATATTGTAGGAAAGTTAGATTTTGGAAGTATTTTGGAATTTGTCCAGACAAATTATTTGTTGAAAGGTCAAGATTTTGAAGACTTTTTAAAGCACTAAAGGAGGATGGTATGCTACCCATAAATAAGTTATTCTGTATATAAAAATCTTCCATCATGGGACAATTTCCCAAAGTGCTTGGAATTTCTCCAAATAATCTATTGTGGGAAAGGTCCAAAGCAAGTAGATTGGTCATATTTCCCAGCTCTTGAGGCAATAACCCAGATAAGAAATTTCTTGAGAAGTCTAAGTGTGTGATAGAAGTTATGCCTTCTTTTGGTATAGAACCAGTAATGTTATTATAAGATAGTCTGACTTCTAAAAGATTTCTACAATTTCCCAAATTAAGTGGTATTTCACCTTTTAAATTATTTCCCTCAAGATGCAAATAAAGCAACTGGGTGAGGTTCCCAATTGAGGAGGGAATTGTACCTGAAAATTGGTTATCAGATGACCAAAGTTCATTCAACTTTTCTAGTCTGCCAATACTGTTTGGAATTTCACCAGTGAGAAAGTTCTGTTGGAGAGCCAACCCTGCAAGGCCAATCAAGTTACCAATCCCATCTGGTACTCTACCAGAAATTTGATTGTCCTCTATAGACAGATATTTAAGCTTGCTTGAGAGATTAACAATTGAAGTAGGCCAATGACCTTTAAAACGATTTACACCTAAATCCAGTGCGAAGAGTTTGCTGCAATTAGTCAAAGAAGCTAGGAAATTGAAGTCGTCGCCCTCAATATTTTCTAGTTGATTTTCACCAAGAGCCAACACCTCCAGAGCGCTCAATCTTCCTAGATTTGGAGGCACAAGTCCGCTGAAATTGTTGGATTCGAATCCAATCTTTTTCAGTTGTGAAGCATTAGATAAAGAAACCGGAAGCCACCCAATAAAGTAGTTAGTTCTACAAAAAAAGACTTGAAGATTTGGAAGTGTTAAGCCAATATCATTGGGTATTTGCCCATGTAATTGGTTGACCGCTAAGCTAAGAATAATGAGTGAAGATAGATTGTAAATAGCAAGAGGAACAACACCAAATAAATTGTTTGCACTAACTCTTAAAATTGAAAGATTTAGGAGTTTTCCGAGCTCACCAAGAATGCTTCCATGTAGTCTGTTACTTGTTAATGACAATTGAACAAGTGAAGAAGCTCTTCCTAGCCATTTTGGGATAGTTCCTGTCAGCTTATTAGATCCAAGAAGCAGAGTATTAAGCCTCTTCATCCCCAAGGTTTCTAGGCTATTTGGGATTTTGCCTACAAGCATATTGTAAGAAACGTTCAAAACTTCAAGGTTAGAAAAAAAGCTCAGATTGCCTAGAATTTCCCCTTGTAAAACATTGTTGCTTAGATTAAGAAATCTCAGCCGAGATAAACGACCAAGTTCTTGAGGAATCTGGCCATGAAGGAAATTCTGTGCAAGGTTGATTCCCCTTAGAAAGGAGAGGTTCCCTATTTGGGGAGGGATGGAACCAATCAAGCCATGCTTCTCTAAACTCAAGAGAGTTACTCTTCCTTTGTGTCGACGACTGCATGTAACTCCCATCCAACCACAGAAATGGAGAGATTCATTCCATGAATTCATTATTCCATGGATATCTTGAGTAATTCGACCTTTGATGGCCAACAAAGCAAGCTTATCAGTTTCATTCGTAGAAGATAGGGCAGTTACTGGATAACTTTGGAAGGAAAGGAGAAGAAGTGATAGGACAGTAGAGAACTGCAAAAGAAAAGATGTCTTCTTCATGGTTGAGTAAAGGGAGAGAAGGGACAAAAGATAGTTACATTCATTGCAAGTATTTGAAATAGCTCTATAGTGAATTTATACTAATTTCATTTCTTCATTACGAAGTTGTGCAAGCAATATATTTTTATTTTTAAGAAATAGAATTTCATTGATATATGAAAATTATAAAGGTTATAAGATCACCTTGAATGAGGTAATGTGTCAGAGCTATTATACTCATAAAATATGTGAAAATGCAAAATCAAATAATCTAATGCTGACATTAATATTATAGCTAGACTCCAACTCGAAATTTAGCAGTTAAATCACATTCCCACATAATTCATCTAGGTGTGAGACAAATTGGTTGAGGTAGAAAAATTTAGTTAGGGACTTAACTTTTTAAATTCTACATCAGTGGAAAAATTATGAGTGAATTTGGTATATGAGTGTGGAGATCACTCACTACTAACAATTTCAACTTGTTTTTGAGAACCTATGGACTTATGGCCGAAGAGTTATTAAGTCAATGGCATTTAAAGTAATTAATATTGTGTTCAATTATTCATATATAAGAAATTAGTATTCCACTAAATGCATGCCTACCTAACAAACTAAGATTCTAATTGTATCTAACTAGATTACCACTAACAAAAGTATGATTCCACCATCATTGAGACAAACAACAATGCATTTTCAACAAAACAAAGAACAGCCAACAGCGCATGAATGAATGGTGTGTAATCATTTTGTTTTTGCTTAGGGTAGTTGGGCATCCCCATCTTCTTTTTGCTTTGCTAGTCGATGAGGTGCAGTCTATATGCTTTGATCTCCTATTTTAGCCTTAGTTTTGTTATTATTTGAATGGATAAATGTGATTTTCAATGGATTTTACTCTTTTTAAGAAAAGGACTTTAACACATAATAATACAAGTTGATTGACTTAATTAATATCTTTTAAAAATTAAGGGGCTGAATTGTGAGAAGAAAGGTTTGCTTTCAGGAACCTAAATAAATGAATTCGAAGTTATGGGATCAAAATTCTCATTATGTAGAAGCTGAATGACCATATTTAGCATTTTACTACCATTGAAGAAATTGCAAAAAGAACCAAAAACTCGACACGGGTTTGGTGTCTACACCTACGATGTGGCGTCACAGCATACGATAAGCCTTTGGAAAATAGGTACCAGAACTACACAGCAGTGCCAACACCTCCCTCCTGGTATCAATACTCTAAGCGCTTTTTAGCTTCAAAGTTTTTATTTTTATCATACATCCTAGATCTTTTCCGATAGAGTTCTCTACGCTCTATAAATACTCAATTAAAAATCAGATTTGGAGTTTTTGGAGACCAAGAGACGAAAAGCTACATATTAAAAGAAGATCAAGACTTAAATTCCAAGGAGAAATCCCCATAGAAATGGAAGAAAATGAAATCCCACCAAACCCAAAACTGCCCAGAGGAGTAAGAGCAGCCAGAAACAGAGAGGTGAGGCAAACTCCAGAGAGAAAACCCACCACACAAATTTGGCATGAAAAATGAAGTACCCATTTGCAGAGCTCTCTGTGAAACCACTCTGTCTAGAGGCTTCTGCTTTGCTGCCTCCATCTCCTTGGTTTTCCCTTTCTCCTCAGTTCATTAATTTCAAAGGAAAAACTCAAAGAAACCCATTTTCCTGACTTTCTTCTTTACAATTAGAAAATTTTTAGTTTTTCAATGATCCAAAGACGCAACAGACATTTGATGTTGTTGGAATCACCCTATGACTAATCAGAGTTTGTTTGGTGAAGAATTTGATGTTAAGATTTTGGTGTATTTCTCTCGGGGGAGGTCTACACCTCTGTCCAGATAGAAGGCAACACAAACAATATTAAAGTATTCCCGTTTACCAAAAAGCCATTAAAGGACTATCGTTTTGGGCTTATTTGGAGCAGCTCGAAAAGGAACATATTCCCTTAGGAGTTAGGACCCTTACTATTTGGATCAATAATTTCTTCATGTTTTAGTTGTAGGGATAAAAGAAAATTAAGGTCTCTTATTATTAAAAATATTATTATATTTAATAGTAATTATATAAAAAATTTAATAAATTTGAAGTTTAAATTATATTTTATATATTTAATAATTATAATTAAATATCTTAATATTTTTAATATCAAGATATTTTTTTTTTCCTTAGTTGTATTACAAAATAGAGTTGCATTTAGCAAGTTGACTTTTAGAAGGAGTGAAATCCAATTTCAAACTTGCTCAAAGGTGATATGGATTTTGGATATAAATGTTTCATAGGAATTGCATTTTATATATTTTATGAGAATATTGTTTTACAACTTAAATAGTAAAACAAAATTTTTGAATGAGGAGGGGCTTTTAATATTAAAATTTAAAAGCTTTTTTTTAATTAAAATTAATATTTTATAATTTAAAATAAGTTAAATTATAAAATATTCTTCTAATATTTTATTTTAAATAAATGT